CAGACGTGTGCTCTTCCGATCTCCCCAAAACCCCAAAACCCCAAAACCCCATTAATGAAATATTGGAAAGAAGTTTGAATTATAAATTTCAAAGTTAAAATAGTTATAGCAAATTACTAGCTTAATGGCAGAAATAGTTATTGACACTTTGAAGACTGATCCAAGTGACATTAAATTGGAGAAATTGAAAACCCTTAAATTTCAAATGATCGGCAGTCATGAAAACAAGGAGATCTATTTTAACTAGGGACTTGTAGAGATTCTATTCTCGATGGTGAGCACAGAATTAGATGACAAGATTTTGAAGGAAATAATCACCTCAATTAATTGCTACTTCTTTAACTTCCCTTAGGCTTAAGAGTGCTTTAAGTTTTTTAGCAGTACTTTTGTTCAGATGCACTTTTTCTTGACTACTTATAAGGATTCCTCACCTTAATTTATAGATATGGTACTAAGAATCATTAGAAATTCTCTAGTGTCTGGAATCGTGAAGGCTAAAGATTTTGAGAACCAGAATCTAATTCTTGAACTTGGTACATTCTTGAATACCAAAGTTAGAATCTCTCTGATAGCTTAGATCCTTACTATTCTCTGTCAAAGCAAAGATTTAAAGCTAGAAATCGAACAAAACAGATAGATACTTGAAAAAATTCTTGAACAGATTACTAAAAATCAATATATAATCTCAGATGAGTGCTTGGCAAACTGTGTCTGCGCTCTGGCTGAGGCAAGTGACAAGAATCAGCAGATCTCCAGTTTCATTTTGACATACCCGCAGGCAGTTGATGAGTTGACTAAACATCTTAGACATCCAGATAATGTGATGAAGGTGAAGTCATCTAGAATTTTGTCGAACATCAATAGATATTACAAACTTCCGACCTTGTAACAATAGCAGTTTAAATGGGTAATCATGCAAATGTCTCAGTTACTGCCTGTTTTCTAAGATGATTAAGCTTTGATTAAAGAGATCTGTAAGATCATGAGAGACTTGGCCAAGAAATCCAAGGAACGCAAGCATTTGCAAAAAGTGGCTGGTGATATATTGGCGATTGAGAAACTAACTGATTTGATACTAACGTGTAAAAAAGCGAGTGAGGAAGCCTTTGATGTTGATGCGTTTATTGGAGACCAACCAGTCTTATAATCTAGCTTCAAATCTATGATACTTAGGACATTAGCAGCATTATCAAGAGATGAAGAGAAATGCAGAAAGAAAATTATTGAGAACAAGAAGTTCTTGGACGAGTTATTGCAATTGATAAAATCTGCCAACAAAGACCAGAATTATGCGGCCTGCAAGTTATTCGTGTCCCTCTCTAGATCAGACAAGATGCTAAAGCAAATTATACTTGATTCAGGTGAGTTCTTGAAGGAGCTCACGAAGTTTTTCCTGGAGTCAGACAGCGAGCCGAAGCTCTAAAGTACCTGCTGCAAGGCCTTATGCAACTTAGCTTTTGACTTCTAAAAGTAACTATCCAGCGATGCTCTGCTTCTGAGGAAGTTAGTACTGTGCATTGATGGGTAAAATGAAGAACTCAGAGTGGCTTCTTGCTATACTTTGAAGAATCTCTTGTTTAGGTGCAATAAAGATATCAAGATAATAGTTGTAAAGGAATTGACTAGCAGAAGACTTATTTAACTCATGTCAGACTCAAACTCTAAGATCTAGGAACAAGCACTTATGATTTACAGAAATCTGCTGCATCAAACAGAGTAAGACATATAGTAGGTGCTCTCTGATGGGGGCGATGAGTTTCTGGCTAAACTGGAGACTAAATTAGACGATAAGAATCAGGCTATTGTTCTGCACAGTCTCTACATTCTATCAAGCATTGCAAGTGGAAACTAAAAGCAAAAGAAGATTGCGATGGATGAGAGATTCTTCAACAGATGCCTGCAGATACTTAAGAGCACTGACAGTTCTCAGATAAAGATAGGAGTGCTGAACTACATCACTAGTCTAGCATTCAAGGAGAGCGGGGGTTCTTCGGAAAGCAAAATCAAGAAGTATTTGACTGATATGAAGATCGGAGACTTGTTAGAGAGTCTGAAGGAAAAGGAGAGAGACCCAGAAGTTAGAGGCTACATTCAAAGAGCACTTAAAAAACTTAATTGATATTAATAATGTTGACTAAAAATGTATTGAAATCAAGAAATTAAACTTATTTATTAATTATTATTCGCTATATTCAACTCAATAGTCGTCATCCACATCTGGAACTTCGGACTCAGTTTCGGGTTATTCTATAATAATGTTCATAATTTTAATTAGGCTTACTTTCTTTTTGAGGGGAGGGTTATCCGATTCTCTAGTGGCCACCTTTCTTTAATGGAACAGGTTCAGCTTGCTTTGACTGATAAGATTGCAAAGCTGGCTAGATCATCTTTATCTCGCTGAGTTATTCAACCTGTGCCTTCGGCTTAACCTCCTGCTTTTCATCCTACTACCTATCTGCATTTTTAGAGTTCTCAATGTCTTGCTTCTTTTCTGACTTCTTCCGTTGTTTATCATAGAAGTAGTCCTCAATAACGTGCTCTGTGCGATATTTCTAGTTCAGCTGATCTTCTTTCACATTTTGAAGTTCATTGAACAGTCCATTTATCTTTTTCTGATAAGTTTTCTCTTTCTCAGTAACTCTATTGATTTATTATAATTAAAATACACTTACTGCTATTGCTGATTTTGGATATCAGCTAGGTGCTATATTAAGTTTTGAATTTCATTTCTCATTTGAGTAAGTGATGTGTTTAGAAGTGGATTAATCTGGCCCATCTCGTAAACCTTCTCCTCAATATCGTCAAAGTCTAAGGCATCATACTGCTTCATGCTGTCTCCTCTAAAGAACTCACTTCTCATCTTCTTAATCGCACTGTTATCAAAGGTGTTTCCTTTAAGTTCCTTGAACTTATCTATTTTCTCTATTGTATGTAGCAGCTTTTTAGACTCATTCTCCCCTGCTTTGAAGTCCAAAACTTCCAGCATTCTCTTTGTATTCAAAAACAGCAATTTCTTAAACAAAGACTTAAGTCGCTTCTTAGAATCCTTGGTACCTTCGCTTTCTACCTAGGCTTGCAAAGGATTTTGATCTTGGTTGTCACTTTCAGATTGCTTGTTTCCATTCTTATCTTTGTTTAGATTACTTTTAAGGTTGATAGCTCTTCTTACAAAGATAAACTCATCATCCTCCACTTTCATTGCTGTTTTGAACCTGTATAAATCAGCAATCATAGTATGCATAATCTGGCAGTCCACAGTCTTGACTCTCTAGTTACTTTCAAATATCCTAACAAAGTCAGAATTCTTATCAAGCACACTTTTAATAATTGCATACTCATTGACCTAAGAAAACATCAGTTCAATGTTCTTAGTGCTACTATCAATCGCATTATTAAGTTAAGAGAATCTAGGCTTGAAAGAATTTTCTCTGCTGAATCCATATAACAATTAAGGTCTGATAACTTGCCCGATAGTTTAAAGTATATCTAGTCTACCTCTGATGTCAATTGCAATTTGCTTGTAAGGCATAATTTTCTCAGATTTATTCTTGAAATAGTCATCAAGCATCTCAAAGGTCTCCTTTTTTAATTCTCTTTGACTAGTTTTATGCTTGGTCTTTTGCAAATCTCTCAACCATAGATGCTTTAAGAAAAACCATAAATCAGTAAAAGCATTCAAAGCCAATGTAAATGGTCCAAGGAAAACGAAGAATACAAATGTGATGAACTTATCTGCTCTAGAAACACGATAAGATTTAGAGTATACATAGATCATAATTAGTTTGTGGAAAAACAGCTTGATGTATGTCACTGGTGCAAGCACGATATTGTAGAGGATAAACATCAGAAGTACAACAAACATAACTGGAAGGTAGGCAATGCACAATATAAACTCATTAACTCTTTGTGGATTCCTACTGGTCAATAGTATAGGTGCAAATATCACTAGTAGTATATTCATGGGTGGTGGCAAGGATATCAATGCAGAGTATTCTTTATCAGCCTAGGTGTAAGATCTTAGTTTAAGAGTCTCCAGCATTTAGTAGACGTTTGAGTGCTCTGAGTATTAATCATATAGCACAGTAATTACAGAGATAAACAAATGCATTACAATGCCAATATTGCAGACTAAGAATATAATCATGAATGTGATGCCAAAGTATTCACCATATTCTGCCTACTACATCTCATCAAAAGAAAATTAACCCATTGAGGCATAGAATAAGGTTTTAAACGCTTTGAATGAAGTATTAAAGTCTGTAAGTCTTCTGAAACATAATTCTGCTATTAGAGCAAAGAAAATAAGCTCTAGAACATAAAAGCAGAAGAATAAGGCGACGTCATAGAATAATCTTTCAATAACACCTACAAATTTACCCATAAATTCATTATATCTGAGCAAATAAAACACTCTAATCCATAGTATCACAATGCAACAAATCCAGAGTGCATCTTCTGATACTAAACCTCCATAGTAGTTTCTTGCATAAATAACCGCTCTAGTCTCATCGCCTATTAACGGATAGTCAGTCCAAGTTCCATATAGATTTTTAACATAAGTCACGATAATATTTGTGAAGAATATTGTGAATACTGTGAGATCTAGAAGATTCAGGAATGCGTAAGGATCTACCATTCTCTTGTTTATGGAAGCATAGACGATGTTGAAGATATGCTAAAACCCAAATAACAGAGGGAGTATTGAAATATAACTGACATTAAGGACTTTTTAAAAGAACACATCTGCTTCAACGCTCATACTACGATATAGCTCTCTATAATTAGATTCAGCTTTTATATAATCTGGAGAGGTCTTGTTCGTCATTGACTTCAAACCGTTTTCAACTTTGAAAAAGTTCTCCATTGTATCAGTAATCTTAGGAGCTTCCAAAAGCAAATCATTGATCAAAATATGAATGACTGCGGCAACAATAGCAGTGGCAACGAACTCAACAATAATACGAGACTTCCCAGAAAATCTCCAAACAGTGAATTAAAGGGGATGAGCCTCAAACTTTGTACAATCTTTATAGTGATAAAATCGCTGACTAATCTCATCATCTTTTATACAATTCCAATAGCCAAAGGTCAATCTGTGATTAGTACTTGCAGAAAATAGACTGTTGTTCGTAGCATATGGACTTCTCCAGATCTCTCTGACTACATTGTCAGCGAACTGACTTTCAAGTAATGGGAATATCTTATATCTAGTAATCAATTCAAGAGAGTCTCTGATCTCAAAGTCTTTTTCCAAAAGCAAATACCTCATTTCCTGTTCTGAGTCAATAGCAAGCATATATTTCTTGGTAATCTGTTCGATCTTGCCTCTTAAGGTCTTGCATCTGACCTTAAGTCTCTCAAATCTATCAGAAATCATTTCGAGTATCTCAACCAATAAACAGGCAGTTTTTACTGCATTTAAATTCATCACCAGAATGTTAAACTTGTTCTCCTAAATTATCTTCTAATCAAGAGCATCAAGGAATTACTTAGCATGCCTCAGGATGAATATATCTATGTAGGATCTGATTAGATATGCTTTAAAATCAAATTAGCCATTATTCTTGTTAATAGAGGAGATCAGAATAGTAATGATGTACTCATTCTCCTTCTTGGATTCTTTCAGTCTTCTGAAAAACTCCTTATACAATAGCGCACCAATATCAAAACTTTCTAGTTCAAGAGCTTCAATAAATAGCTAAGGGGTGAAATCAAACTCATTGTGCAGTGAAAATAAAAATCGCAAAAGCTTGATCTTTCTTCTTTACACAAATATCCTGAACAGATCCTTCAAGTTGAATTCCTTTTCTGGTTCTTCAAAAAATTTAGAATTCACCTCATTTTTCATAATCTTGATCAAATCAATAACAGACCTGGAAGTCTCATTCTTATCAAGAGCAGCATAAACAATATCATTAAAGTGGAGTTCTCTTTCCACATCTTCAGAGTATTTGTGCTGCTTATTATTCAAATTATACTAGTCTACATCTAGATAGATGGGTCTCTTAGGCTTGCTAAGTTGTTGAATCAGCAGTTTTTTCTGGTTTTCAGATAGCAGAATCTGAATCATTTCCTTAGTCATCAAAGATCTGTCCAGTATCAACTCAGTCATGAAATAAAAGTCCCTCTCGATTGAGATCTTGAGAACTACCTGATCAAATTTTCTTCGCTCTGCTGAACTAGAGAAGCCTGTAAGCTGAAGAAATATCCTAGAAGATGAGAATAGCTAGTTCAGTTCTTTGTTCACCTTGAAGAAGTTATTCCTTCTGAGCAACTAGTCAAAGACCTTCTCAGAGTTGAAGCAAGACACTGAGGCATATAGATACATAAGGATCTCCTCCGAGTCTAGCACATCTCTTTTAAGTACCTAATCAAATTTCTTCTCATCGTCTAGCTCCAGAGATATCTTCAGTTCTATCATGTTCTGCGACAAGTACTCCTGGTTTTGCTGAGGCTGAATTTCCTCTAACTTGTCTTCTAAGTTTACTTTCCTAATGTTGAGATGCTTGGAATCAAGCAGATCGGATTTTCCTCCCTCTTTGAATCTAGGAGGTTTGCTGAATATCTCATTTGGCAGAAATTGGTTATTTGAGATTGATGTCACATTCAGCATGTAGCCGGAAACATCAGTGTGCTCATTTTTCTCATTCAAAGGTCTAAATGACTAGTGCTCTATATCTACCTGTGAGGCATTGACAAACTTATGTGGATTGTAGATCCCATCTGGGATGGATTTGTCCTGCTCTGGCGCATCTGACTCCAGATGATCTTCATCGTGGTTTGACGATGAGTATTAGTACTTTTACTTAAGTGCTGAAGAATTATTCATAAATAGTTAATAGCTTTATTTTTCAAATTTAAATACTTTCTAATTTGCACTACTACTACGATTATTTATTTTACATTGTGGGGTTTTGGGGTTTTGGGGTTTTGGGGTTTTGGGG